CTGAAACCAGCTAGAGTTACTGAATATCAGCCTTTTTATCTACATCAGTGAGAGCCTGCAGAATGAGGCGAATGTGGTTTAGGAATCCATGTTCTCTGGTTTTCTCTACAGATTTAAGGTTGACTTTAAGGTCCTGGTCCCTGATACAATAGAAAATAATAAAATAGTGTATAAAATATGATTTTTTTTAGTGTAGTTCTGTTTCTCTGACTGTGACTATCTGGGTGTGCTCTCTTCATCCTCTGACATGGGAGCTGCTAACCAGTTAGCAACTTAGTGCAGGTTTCCAATGGAAAATTCCATTGGGACCAAGTAGCACTAAATTGGTGACTTAGAAACGACGCTGTCAAGGAACGCTATGGACAGAGGAAACATGCAAGAGGAGGAGAGTTTAGTGTCGGAGGTCGTGGATGAGTCTCCTCCGTCATCCATTTTTTATTTAGAGGAGGAAAGCGGGGACGAAGATGTTGTGGAAGAGGACGCCAGGGCGGCAGAAGCTTGGTTTGGTGTAGAAGGCTTCCAGCCGTACATGTTTGAGCCCTTGCCTCGCAACGCTGCCAGTTCTGTTAGCTCTACGCCTGCTGAAGACACAGACGTCCATCCCCGTGAACACTGGGACGCAACTCAATGGCAAAGGAAAGGATTCTGATTTCAACCGTTGCGTATATTAGCTGCGACACATGAATCAAGATGCTATGACTGAAAGCATTTGATTGACAGATGACCGTTGATATATGATTGGCTGAATTTATGTGTTCAGGCTGACGTAGAACTAACTGGCCTGCAGAAGATAACAAAAAAACCCACAGATTAAGACAGGATTTTTTTTTGTAGAAATTTTCTAACTTTTGGGAAAATACAGTCTGATAAAGAGTACATTTATATACATGTTTAAGCCAGAATTAATTGACATTTAAATATGACTTCCCTACGTATTTAAGGCTAATAGCGTTCAATGGCATCTGAGCTCTGACTTTGTCCATCCGTCTGTCCATTGGTTGTCCGTTAATACCTGGATCAAACATCTTGGAGGTGGACCTGTTTCCACACTGCTGATTATTTATTAAAACACACATTATCCATGCCTTAGTAATTACAGTTATCTGCTTATTGTGCCTTTTTTTATGATGATAAATAATAACAGTGAATTAAATCAGAGCAGAGGGAGGATCCTCTCTGAACAGGTCCACAATGTTCCTTTAAAGAACCCGATTTAGAAATGTTCTTTAAGGGTAAACCTCCAATTGTTCTTTTTTAGTAACACGACCTAGGCTGTTCTTTGACTCCCAATGATTGTTGTTTCCATAGTTACTTTGGTACAGATACGGCCCGGGGCGAAAGAAGAAGCCAGCTCAGGTATTTATTGGCTGCCAGCCACATTACTCATAAACCTGAACAAGTGTGGTTTGGAAACCTTCTGAAACTGGAGGAGAATCTGAAGATCCTGAAGAAGAAACGGGAATCCTCGCTTCACATTATGAAACCATGGTGACATTTTATGAACACTTTCGTCCCAGACGGTGATAGATGGAGGACACTGGTTGGAGCTTGTTGAAGTTTTTAATCTAGTTTCATGCTTTGATTATTCCATTTATGCTGTCAGTGTGAAGTGCTGCATTAATACAGATTTGTTATATACAGACAAAAAAAAAAAATATACAATAATACATAATATTTGCAGTGAGGACATTTTTACAAACTGAGAACATTTTGGCTGCTGTAGGTAACAGATATGCTCGGCTGGTTGGTGTTACAACCCAATCCGTACCATCAGCTCATTTGCACAACCAGATATACATCTGGATTGCCATAAATAATGCAATTATAGTACTAAAATTACTTATTTCTATCCTTAACCCAATAAAGAATGCTAATACACATCTATAAAAAAAACTTTTTATGATGTTTCTGAGACAATTTTGATGCTTTTTACATTTTCTCCGTTAAACTGCTTCTCTGACGTCATCACAGGACATGCACAGGCCAGTCCGGCAAAACATGATTTAACCATGTTTGTCTGCATTTTAGTTGTTTCTTTCTTTATATCACGGGCTATATACCATTACCGCTAACACGAAAGGAAAACATAAAACTCAAAATGACTAGATTTGTGTTTAAATCCAGAGCTAAAAATGTTAGCTACCGGATGTAGCCCAGGAGCCCATTACCGGCACAGTCGAGTGATAAAATAGAAAGGAATTTAATGCATTTATTTTCTCAGGAAAAACATTATTAACCTTTAATACATTATATTTTAGTATGCTTACTATTTTGGGGAGGGAAAACATAATTTAGTTTTTTTTTTAGAAAATAAAATCAAGGGTGACCCGGATGTATATCTGGATGCGTAAATGAGCGTATGGTATGGATCATACTTCAGGGACGGATCAGGTAGTGACAGTCAGATCTGCTCAGGTCCCTGCTCTTTCTTATGACATGATCATACGGCGACGCCACTCAGAAGAACTTTATTGCACCGGTTTCTTAAGATTCAGATCTCATCTGGAGTCTCCACATATGTGCTATTATTTTACGTTTCATTGGCGATCTAAAGTAGAAAATTATCATCCCAAGTCTTGAAGGAAAGCACTGCCTTCAAGGACAGACGGAGCTCTGACATTTAACTGGGTGACACAAAAAGTCTCAGGGATTCTTCTTCTTCTTTTTATCTGAGTAGATCTATGATTGGAAGGCAGGGGATGACAAATGGAACATCTTAAAAATGACTTCCATAGAGATTTTAGACAAAAAAAAACAGTTATTCTCTTCTAGAAAATGACCAGTTGTTGACACAGAGTTAAAAGTAGTGTAGCTGAATATGGCTACCAGACCGAGACACAACGCTACCCTGCTCTACGTCTTTATACCACGGTTTAACAGTAACTTTGTTCACCATAAACAGATTTTTTTCAGTTTTCGGTTCAGTAAGGTAAAATTTCATCACTCATCAGACACGTTAACATTACAGATGCTCCCTGTCACTACCACTGATCTCTATTTATTCTCTGGATATCCAATTGGCAGAAAACCTGAAGTCACTTGCCGCCATCTTGATATTTAATTCTCTCAGAGAGTCACGCCATAAACATGCTGTTATATGTAGCATTTGGCTGCAACAACAAGCAGTTTTCTGTCTCTGGGATTAAAGGTTTTAAAACACATCCTCTTCAAACACCAGTAAATAAACACCATTTTAATGTATTTTTATTACATTTCTCAAATGTTATTAACGTAGGCTGTAATATATAATTTAAATACATATTTATCTGTATTTGAATCTTAATTAGAACTACATGCAATTCAATCCACTTTATTTATATAGCACGATTTCAATAAACACAAGGTTTCCAAAGTGCTGCACAAAAAAGATAAAATAACTAAAATAAAAAACTAAATAAAAGTAAATAAAATAAAATAAAATCACTGCCCGCACAGAATAAAAATATGCATGTGTATACATAAAATCAACATGTGTATACATAAAATCAACACTCTACATGGTGTCAAAAGCCAAAGAAAAGAGGTGAGTTTTAAAATGAGACAGGCTGTAAAATTTAACTACATGTGCAACTTATATAATTAAAGATATTCAATCACTGGATAGCATATGTGTGTGTTTGTGTACGTGTGTGCATACGTAGCTGTATGCATAGTTAATGCAAATTTATAGATTCTTGTTGTAACTATGAGCAGAAAGCAAAATATGAATTTGATGTTGCCTGATATTTTGCCAACGCATGTAATTTTGCACATGTAGAAACTGAAGCTCTGTGGAGTTATTAAATTGGTTAATTAATTTAGCTCTATTTTAATTCAGTGTCAGATTTAAAGACTAATACACAGACGCAGCATAAAAGTACATGGCAGGGGTCAGCAACCGTGGCTCTTTAGCACCCCCTTGTGGTTCCCTGGAGCTTTTTAAAAAATGCATGAACATTTATTTATTTTTGTGTATTTTAATATGGTTTGCAGGAGGTCTAACAAACATTCATTATGTTTTTTTATGCTGTAAACATGGGTTTAATAAATACATTTAAACAATAAATGTAAATATTTTTTCAATGAAAATTTGCATCATAGTCATAGAGATCAGAGGTCATAGCCTGCAACACATGTTTCAGCACGGCAAGGTGCCAGACAAACAAAGTGGCTGGTGTGTCTCAGGCCATGGATCCCAAAGGGAAAAAAGGAAGATAGCTGATGAGAACAGAGGATTCAAAGAAGAAGGGAGCAAATCTTTTGCTTTCATTACTATTGCCTGCATTTCCGCTTTGTTATGAGAGTTTGTCAAAAAATAAAGGGTCATTTTGAAAGGCTTTTCCGGGGAAAGCTAAATATGCAGCCGACCACGAAGCTGGGAGTGAGAGCACATGTGTGATCGCAGAACTTCTAAAGTTAGAGTTAGTTAGGAGAGCAAAGATAGATTTATGAAGTAGATTGCATCTCCAAACTCCACTACTGCTGCTAGTTTTGTTGCAAGCATAGAAAACCGTTAATAGATCCAACAGGTAGCGCTCTGATGCAGGAATAGGAACTTTCTTCCAGATTTTTTGCCCCAAATCCCAAATATTATTATATATTTAAGCCCACGTAGTCCTTGTTATAGTGGGCTAATACACTTAGAGCCCGTTTTGCCCTATGAGGCTTATAGAAGAATTACATTTTTGCAGCTCCAGACAGATTTGTTTTTTGTTGTTTTGCTCCAATATGGCTCTTTGAGTAGTTTGAGTTGCTGACCCCTACTATATGGCATAATGCATGCACAATTTGCAAATAGAAAAATACTATAGCATTGTGTGTGTGTGTGTGTGTGTGTGTGTGTGTGTGTGTGTGTGGGGCTGGGCTTAGTGGGAACGGGACAATCGGCTGCCTGAGGCTATGTGGGGTTACATTCAAATTGGCTCAGCTGTGCTGCAGTAGTCCTGTTTCTCTGGCTGTGACTAACTGGATGTGCTCTCGTTTCATCCTCTGACATGGAAGCTGGTTTGGAGCTCATCTGCCTGGCTGTCTGTTTCCTGGAGGGGGCCGCCTGTGGAGCTAGTTGACAGTTAACATTTGTATCTATGCTTTTTTTTCTATTTCTGCTTCTGTCTCCTTGAACCCCAGTCGGCCTCGGCAGATGGCCGCTCACACTGAGCCCGGTTTTGCTTTTAGAGATGCCTTTTTTAGGCTGCTTTTTGTTGTTTCCGTCTCCGATGGCGGCCAGCAGCTGCTTGTACTCTGCTGTCTCCTTAGAGTAAAGCTGCCCCCTGTCCAGCCAGTCCTGCAGCTCCTCTCTCTGGTTGTTGGTAAACAGCCCTGATGCTGAGTATCCGTCTAGCAGCAGTTGGTCTCCCACCTGGTGGTACGCCTGGATCTCTTCTCTCGACAGGTAATTCCCCATGACCTGCTTTCGGCTGATTCCTGGTTGGTTCAGATCAGAGGATTCATGACAGAGTTATGCTCTGAAAGCTAGTTTAGGTTCAGGAAGACTGAGCGGGTTCTGACCCTGTCAGCCTCAGCTTGTTTCTGCCTGCTGGAAACTCTGGAAACTTATGAGTTTAACCATCTGGGCTGTGCTAGTCACCAACCCTATCCCAGTTTATAAACCCTGACCTAGTTTATAAATTCTGACCCAGTTTATAAACTCTAGCCCAGTTTATAAATCCTAGCCCAGTTTATAAAACCTAGCCCAGTTTATAAACACCAACCCAGTTTATAAACCCTGACTCAGTCTATAAACCCTGACCCAATTTATATAACCTAGCCCAATTTTGAAACCCTAACCCAGTGTATAGATCCTAGACCTGTTTATAAACCTTAGCCCAGTTTATAAACACCAACCCAGTTTTTAAATGCTTTACTGAGCCTAGCTAAAGGTTATACCATGACAGAAAAAAACCCCTGCTTGAGCCAAACAGGAACCCCAATAGAGCTGTGGAGAAAAGGTGACCTAGGATGAATTCTTGGTCCAAAAATTGTGAGTTCAGCCGTGGTTACCATGGTGAACCAATAGGGTTTTTCTGTCTTTTCACCACAGTGGATTAACACACTGACCATCTGTAGACTGGATCCCGACACCAAGCAAAGGCCTCAGGCCTGGAACCATTCTCCGTCATTATTCAGCCCTCAGTTACTCAGTTTAACTAGTAGAACTGCTCATTTATTTACAGTATTCAATGGTAAGTAGAATCAATTATTGAATATCAAAGACAGAAACATTTTCAGAAGAAGGTTGTTTCATCAGGTTTAGAATAAAGGAATGGTACCAGTCCACACACCCCTGGTGGAGGAACTTTTTTCCTTAGGCCAATTTACAGATTAACAAAATCTCTCTAATTTTCACAACCCAATGTTGGCAGGTATGCAACTGTCTTCAGGAGCTTCAGGGACATACCTGCATCCCTTCTCAGAGACTCTGACACCTCTGGATTGGACAGGAGTAGTGACATCTTCATCAGTTTAACGCTGTCTCCGCTTACCAGAGCGTTGGTGATCTCAGCCCTGTGAGCAGAGAGGAAATTACTCAGCCATCACCAGAGAAGGCTTCAGTCAGAGTAGGGAGCCTCACCTGGTGCTACGAGCCTCCCTGCTGTTGCCGGTGGTCAGGGCCATCCGGTGGTGTTGAGCCAGCACCTCTCTGCACAACTGCTTGTCTTTTCCCACCATAATCTCGTACAGGGCTGGATGTTCGGTCCTGAAGGCTTCTGTCATCCCTTTTTGCTGCAGAATGTCATAGGCCTTTTGCAGGCAGTCTCTGGGAGGGATGTGGTCTGCATTCATAACAGGGTCGCCATTGTTGTTGGGAGATCCGCTTTCCCGCCGGACACCTATTACACTTCAGAGAGAAAACAGTTTGGTTTGGTCCAGATGAGACTGTCATGATGCTAAATGATGTTGCTTTTCATGATGAGCAGGTAAAAAGCAGCTCACTCATGGTACGCCCCCACCAGTCCTAGCTTGTAGGTCTTCATGAGCTGGTAAAGCTGTGGGTTGCTGATGCGGATCTTGTTCAGCATCTGCTGATATGCCTCCGTGATCTGGTCTCGGTCTTTTTTGGCCCCTCCACTAATGGTGTAGCAACTCCTGGCTGCCAGCGTCTGCTCATATTGCCTCTGCAACCTCAGAGCTGGTGCGTATCGTTGCACATCCTGCTGCAGCTGAGAGGAACACGACAACAGACATTGGTTGGATTGTGTTTGCAGAGTTTGTGCTGCTGTGATAGGCCTAAACGTCAGGGAGAAGCTGCCTTAGTCCCGGCAGCCCTTTACAGCCCCGCTTCAGACCAGAGAGCCAGGACATGGACCCCAAGCAGACCCCAGATGGCAGCAGGAACCAGGAAGAGGAAACACACCAGAGAACATGGAAGCAGAAGCTGGACCAACTGAGATAGAAAGGCCCAAAAGTTAAAGAGTGGATCTACTCATTCAGGAGTTGTTGAATGCATTTGGTGCTGTTGGTTCATGCAACACAAGCTTCTCTGTGTAATTCCTCTATAATGTTCTCTGTCATCTGTGTCTGCTGCTACTGGTGCGAGTCCTAAAGCCAAGCTGGTGTAAGAACTACTCACAGTGCGTTGGACCTGGGCTCGGAGGGCCAGCGCCTGCTGGTTCAGGTCTGATGGGGTCCTCTGGGTGGCCTGGACCACAGCATGATAGAGGCAGTTCTGGCCCTCTGAATACACCGGGATCACAGAGCCGTCCGCTCCAACCAGCTCAAAGTGTCCTCTTTGGGGGGTCTGCTCACCTCGAGCCTGTTTCTTCATCTTTGAGAAGAACCCCTGTGTCCTGGTAGAAGAGGAAGATCTAGGGTCAACTAGATCCGGCTTCAGGGTATAACAGCACAGTGATGAAAGATGGCTTTAGCTTGTGTTCAAACTCTAATTTTCTACATGGCCAGAAGTGCTGGGAGTCGGTCCCGGTCACAGATGGGTTACCCTAATACTAACCTGACCAGGATTTGGATGCCTTTCCTAATCTGTTTTGTTCTGGGTTCATGAGCCTGCTACCTTGTCATGGTAACACCTGACAAGGGATGGTCTCTAGCCTGCTTTGGAGGTCTGTAAAAGCGATGCTCTAATCAACCAGCGTTCCAGGTGACTGGTTGATCAGAGAGCTGATTGGATCAATCCGATAAGTTTCTCTGGGTTACTCTATGGCAGTCACCAGGTTACCACTCAAAGCTGTGCATCCTGCGAAACGGCAGAGGTTGAATCCTTGAGTAAAAAAACGGAAATAAAGGACTAATCTTACAGCAGAATATACTAAAGTACATCGACGTCTAGTGAAGGGGAGGAACAGTTGCGGATCTAGACCAAATGTACCAGCGGGCCAGGAGGGGGCCTGAGTGTTTTCATGGGGGCCCAGAAAAGCATGAAATAAAAGGGTCCTTAAACAGGGCAAGGGATTAAAATATATTCAGAAAGCTGCATGAAGTGAAACTTCTTCTCAATTAGGTTAAATAAAAATTCTATTACTTATTAGGTCAATATACATTTATAATTTAGGAATTGTACATATTTTTGACCTAATTTAAGTTAAAACTACCACTTTCTATAAAATTTGAATTAGAAGTCAAGAAAAAACTGTTAAATTCATCTGTAAAAAGTAGAGTATTTTTTATTCATTTTTTGTGAAAAAAAAACATTTAGCAGATGAAAATTGGGATCCTATATCCATACCACTGAAGCTATTACCTTATTGTTTTTGAATAATTAGTAAAACTGGACACTCAAGTGAAGAGAGGGGCGGAGCTGTCCACCGACCACCACCTGGTGGGGAGCTGAATACGCTGGAAGAGGAGGAAGCCTGAAAGACTCGGCAGGCCCAAACGTGTAGTGAGGGTCTGCTGGGAACGTCTGGTGGAACCCTTGGTCAGGGACGTGTTCAACTCCCACCTCTGGGAGAGCTTCTCTCAGGTTCCGAGGGAGGTTGGAGACATGGAGTCCGAATGGGCTGTGTTCTCTGCCTCTATCGTCGATGCAGCTGCCCGTAGCTGTGGCCGTAAGGTTTGCGGTGCCTGTCGTGGTATCAATCCCCGAACCCGGTGGTGGACACTGATAGTAAGGGATGCTGTCAAGCTGAAGAAGGAGTCCTATCGAGCTTGGCTGGCTTGTGGGACTCCTGAAGCAGCAAGCAGGTACCGTGAGGCCAAGCGTGTCACGGCCCGGGCGGTTGCAGAGGCAAAATCTCGGGCCTGGGAGGAGTTCGGTTGGCCTCAAAGCGATTCTGGCAGACCGTCCGGTGCCTCCGGAGGGAAAGCAGTGCTTCGCTAACACTGTTTTCAGTGGGAGTGGGGAGCTGCTGACCTTGAAGGAGGATATTGTCGGGCGGTGGAAGGAATACTTTGAGGATCTCCTCAACCCAACAGACACGCCTTCCGTGGGGGAAGAAGAGAGGGGGTGCTCGGGGCTGGATTCATTCATCACCCAGGCCGAAGTCACCGAGGTGGTCAAAAAACTCCACGGTGGCAAGGCTTCGGGGGTGGACGAGATCCGTCCTGAGTATCTTAGAGCTCCGGATGTTGTCGGGCTGCCATGGTTGACACGTCTCTTCAACATCGCGTGGAGGTCGGGGACAGTCCCCCTGGATTGGCAGACTGGGGTGGTGGTTCCCCTCCACAAGAAGGGGGACCGGAGGGTGTGTTCCAACTGTCGGGGAATCACAATTCTCAGCCTCCCCGGAAAGGCCTATCACTGCATGAAAAGTGAGATTTTCGTCCCCGTAAACCCCCGTAAACTCCCGCAGATCTGCCTGATTTTCGTCAGTTTCCGACAATTTGCAACCCGTGCTTGTCCGCGTTTGTCGTGCCACAAATTGTCGGAAACGTACCATGACGTATGTGGAGAGCGATCAGCTGTACTAATGGCCCTAATTAGCATATGAATGCAGCAAACCCGCGCGGCTGGCCAGGTCTGGCTTGAATAACCTTCTCAGTATTGGCTGAAACCACTATTCTCAAACAAGTAAAATCGCTCGTGATTGGCAGCAAAACCACACGTGGCCACGCCAGGCTTTAATTTTCTTACTGAGTATTGGACGGAACCACTTCTTTTTCAACAAGTAAAGTCGCTCGTGATTGGTTGGCATATATATATATTTACATATATATATTTATTCATATATATATATATATATATACATATATATATATATATATATATATATATTTATTTATTCATTCATATATTTATTAATTCATATATTTATTCATTCATATGGTGTGTATTTATGTTATCCTACACTACTACACAATTATTAGGCTACCATCAAGGACATGAATGAATTTATACAGGAAATGAACATTTGCCAGGAAGCTGTTTATGCAAAGAAAGAGCTTTATTAAAACACACACAACTATATACAACGCGTATCCAAACACATGCGTTTCTAAAAATTAAAAGTCCGTGAACGGTCCGTTTGCTTCCTCGGGGTTGGAGGTAACTGGCAGCATTCCCTCCGAGGCAGGTCCGATGTGCAGACGCCTACTGTGCGAGGCCCTGTACTAAGGCATCGCTTCTAACCGGGACTGCAGCTTAACACAGAGTTCAGTGAGATCCGGCCTACGAAATGGCGGCGACCGTACAATCCATCCAGAGACACCGCTGACGACGGCGGACTTCCAGAGTTCCACTTCCTCATCTGCTAGCACACTCTGCCTCGCTTTCAGCAGCTGAAAAAAAAAACAATGAATCAGCGCACTGCGTATGGACACTACACATCCATTAATGCACCTGAAAAATAGTCACCAAATAAAGACTTACCCTCTTTCTTCTGGCCCGACTCCGAGCAGATAGCCTCCGCACGCAGCGTGTTGGCTGGCTGCGTATATCTGAAGCTCCTGCGTACCGTCTGAAAATACGTCTTACAGGCAGCTGGAAAACAATTAAATGAGAGTGGTATAAATAAAAAATCAAACACAAGTCACAGTAACAAGGAAGGAGAAAACATTAAAACAAGTCACTTACACACAATGTCGTCTTTATCATCATCGTGCAAATCTGGACTTGCTGATTATGGCTCCGAGCAAATAGGAGGTCACCGCCTCATTGTGAGGCGACAGTAGTCTGTGAAAACAAAATGTAAAAGCTATGATCGGTATCTATCCGTATCCATTGCCTTTTACCGCAGAATGAAAGCATATTCTTTAAATCTTACCCTTGCTCCGGTTCATAGCGCCTGCAATTAGTCTCCGAGTTGTTAAGACGGCGTACTGCTTCCTGTAATCACAAAAAATACACTTTAATAAAGCTTGTTCTTGCAAGGCTAGGCTAGATAGGCTAATAGCTAGGCTGCTATTAGCCGGTAGCTTAGGCTAGGCTGCTTTTAGCTTAGCAGGCAGTAATCAAACATATATATTTACCGCTAGCATCTCTTCTTTGAGTTCGTCTTGTTCGATGCAGAGTCGCCATCGCGTCCAAGAGGAGTTTTACTCCGCTCCAGACCGCCTGCACAAAGCAAAGCATACATCCTCCACTGTGGATCCAGCCGCGCCGCTCTGAGTTTCTTGGAGATCGTACAGAGCATGCGCGAGATGAACCAGGGTGTCCGCGGATCAATAAAAATAATTAAAAAATCATTCTTTTTTTTTTTTTTAAATCAAGGCCTTAATTGGCACTAAAATTATTTAAATATGTTTATCGAAGTATTTATAATTCTTTAATAAAAAATGCTTATAAAAACAATTTCGTCAGATATATTATATCGCTCCAGGCGGAGAAAAAGCTAGAGGATATATATATACACGTATATATGTGTGTGTGTGTGTATGTGTGTGTGTTTACATACATACAGGAGTCATGGAACTCTGCTTGCAGCTCCTTCATATTTCATGTACACTAATAACTTGTGTACATGGTTCTTGTTGATGGCATTAAAAGCATTTCTAATAGCATTTAAATAGCATTAAATTAGAGTCACTCATTCCTGTATGAACCCTGTGAGCGCTTAATTTAATATGACATATTAAAAAAATCCCACCATCATCCAGCACATGTTCAGTTTCTGCCCAAATATATATTTATATTTTTGTAGATTTTTGTAACGGGGATAAGGATAATTCAAAATTGCTTTTTTTTTAATGAACTTGTTCACTACTTCCAAACTCAGCATCTCTTTTCATTCCTGTAATAAGAAGTTTCTTTTGAATGGATTTCATTAAAGCTTAAGTCCCTCGGTATAAAATAAATATTTTGATGGAGATGAGAAATCTGCTTTCTCCTTGGTGAATAACCAATAGTTTGGATCCAATCATTTAAATAAACGGTGTTAGTTTTTTTTTTTTATATATATATAAGAATTGTGCTATAATTTCTAGTCACCGATCTGTTGCTGCTATATTTTAATTTGACGAACCGGAATTTGTCGATGTTCTTTTTCCTGTTTGGTGCGATTGCAATTGCGGATCTTGACCTGGCCGGACCTTATGACCACAGTGTACCAATCTTCTGATGGCTACTTCCAACAGGATAATGCGCCATGTTATAAAGTGAATCATCTCAGACTAATTTCTTGAAACTTTTCCACTTAAGTAATTGTGAATTGAGCATATTGACAGACAACATTTTATTTATTATCTTAAATGCAATTTGTATTTTTATAATTACTGCTCTAAATTTATTGCTCTGTCAGCTAAAGATCTGTTTTGGTCTCTATACTTTAATTAAATAAATCAATTCAAGCTAAAATGTAAGAGGCTACAGTATACTGAGCCTGATCTCTTTGTATTCTTACCTAGTAAAACCCCCCCTGCAACCCTGATTTGCATTTGTATAGCTCACAGCATGTTCATTTACATGTTAAAGCCTCCCCTAGAATTCCATGGGGGGGAGGCATGGGGGGAACACTGCCTAAGAGAGTCCACGTCAATTTCTGACCATTTACGGGAGTTTTCGGTGAAGCCTGCAAATTGTCGTAAACTGCCGCTAACCTGAAGTTCCACGACAATCTACAGTGCCGCATATTGACGAAAATCCCACTTTTCATGCAGTGTATGCCAGGGTGCTGGAGAGGAGAGTCCGGCTGATTGTCAAACCTCGGCTGCAGGAGGAGCAGTGTGGTTTTCGTCCTGGCCGTGGAACCCTCAAGCACCCTCTGCAGGGTGCTTGAGGGTTCATGGGAGTTTGCCCAACCAGACCACATGTGTTTTGTAGACTTGGAGAAGGCATTCGACCGTGTCCCTCATGCTGCCCTGTGGGGGGTGCTCCAGGAGTATGGAGTCGGGGGCCCTTTATTAGGGGCCATCCATTCTCTGTACAAGCGGAGCAGGAGTCTGGTTCGCATTGCCGGCATTAAGTCGGACCTGTTCCCAGTGCATGTTGGACTCCAACAGGGCTGCCCTCTGTCACCGGTCCTGTTCATAACTTTTATGGACAGGATTTCTAGGCGCAGCCAAGGACCAGAGGGGGTCTGGTTTCGGGAACAGCGGATCTCGTCCCTGCTTTTTGCGGATGACGTAGTTCTGCTGGCTCCCTCCTGCCAAGACCTACAGCGTGCGCTGGGGCGGTTTGAAGCCGAGTGTGAAGCGGCCGAGTGTGAAGCGGCCGGGCTGAGAATCAGCTCCTCCAAGTCCGAGGCCATGGTTCTCGACCGGAAAAAGGCGGCTTGTCCCCTTCAGGTTGGAGGAGAGTCCCTGCCTCAAGTGGAGGAGTTCAAGTATCTTGGGGTGCTTTTCACGAGGGAAGAATGGAGCGCGAGATCGATAGACAGATCGGTGCGGCTGCTGCAATAATGCGGATGCTGCACCGGTCTGTCGTGGTGAAGAGAGAGCTGAGTGAAAAAGGCAAAGCTCTCAATTTATCGGTCGGTCTACGTTCCTACCCTCACCTATGGTCATGAAATTTGGATCATGACCGAAAGAACGAGATCCCGGATACAAGCGGCTGAAATGAGCTTTCTCCGCAGGGTGGCTAGGCTCTCCCTTAGAGATAGGGTGAGGAGCTCGGTCATTCGGGAGGGGCTCACTGTAGAACCGGTTCTCCTCCACATCGAGAGGAGTCAGTTGAGGTGGCTCGGACATCTTCTTCAGATGCCCCCTGGACGCCTCCCTTGGGAGGTGTTCCAGGCACGTCCCACCAGGAGGAGGCTCAGGGGACGACCCAGGACACGCTGGAGAGACTATGTCTCTCGGCTGGCCTGGAAGCGCCTAGGGCTTCCCCCAACAGAGCTGGAGGAGGTGTCAGCGGAGAGGGAAGTCTGGGAGTCTCTGCTTAGTCTGCTGCCCCCGCGACCCGGTTCCGGATAAAGCGGGAGACGACGAGTATGAGTATGAGTAGTAAAACAGGATTTGTAAAGAAAAAGAATTAAATAAATCCAAAGGAGCTATCAGTAACCATGTCTGTTCCAGCGAAAATCATCATTAGAATTTCTTTTAAGTATTATGTTTTCAGTACCGCGGCCAGGACATGATCTACAGGGGCACTGGCCCCCATTGGCCCCTGTCTAGAACCGGCCATGGTGAGGAATGATGACACCGTGGCGGGTTGCACTGTAATGAGTCTCAATGAAATGAGTTTTTTGAACTTGGGATGTCTTGGGATGTCTGCATTTAGCAGATGCTTTAATCCAAAACATTGCACAAAGTACAATGTGACAGTGAGGTAGGCATTAGTGTGAAGGATCTGATGTGACAACCTGAGATTCAAACCGGGACCTCCTGTGTGACAGTCAGGTGAATTACCACTTGAGCTAGCCAGTTGCTGTTTTTAGTTCTGATCTTAGTAAACAGATGTACAGGTTGCCCTCAATTAGAGCTCATAAAAACTAACCTTTATGGGGCCAAACATTTGAATGCATCCTTAACCCATTAGAACCCAGACCAACTCTTACCCAAAGAAAAATGTATAAGGAATGGAAACTTGTGAAATGTACCCTGTTTATCACATTATTGTAAAATGTCAATAATCTGAATCACTCAAAGCTCCCTTCTAAAAACCTTTGAATGGTTTGATACTCAAAGAGTCAACTTGCTTTTCTTCTATTTTATGTTCTTAAGGTTCAAGTGGCAGGTGTGGCTTGCCACCTTGATCCTTTGCTTGGCTCCTCTTACTAGCCAAACCCACCACTGCAAAGTTGGAGTTGGAAAACATGGAGCCCTTTTACATCGTGTGTTTCTTTAAGAGCAGACCTCTCCACCTCCTCTCAAAGTCTTGCAGAGGATGGAAGCCCTGTGGAGATGACAGCTTTACTGAATCATTCCTAGGTCTATAGGACCATAGATCTCTTCCTCAGATGAATCTCTCAGCAGCTTAAGAGACTCCTGTATGAAGCTCCTCAAACACAATGAGCTGGTCTGCCCATGAAGAGCTAAACAGATGGGCTGAAAAGGCTGCTTGTACAAGCAGGTAGTAACTCATGGCACCTGAGTGTCTCATTTAGCCAGCAACTTGTATCAGAGAAAAAAGGAATACAGCAAATGTTATTGGGAGATTCTTGCAAAATACCAAATGACCAAAGACCTTGTGGTCACTGAGTCTGGTTTTGATAATAATTATCTGAGCATCTGAAGTTGAAGACTAAAGCAGATTTTAATATTCGTCTTCAGGATCAACACACTTTATGTGATATTTTAAGGAAACGTCCCTTCAGTCACACACATCCTGTTCATAATACTCACTGCTATGGAGCGTCCGGGTATCTCCTCAGTCGGATCACGATGTCTTCGGCAGAGCTGTCTTTCCCTGGAAAATAATCCTCTGTCAATTTTCTCTCATGCTTGTCAACCACAATCAGTCTGATGCCTTTTCCTTGAAGGGAGTCACTTTGGGTGAGGATATGGATGTGCAGAGCTGTGGCAGGTTGGTTCTTATCACTGATTCCCTCAATGTAGCGCTCTAAGTCTTGCTGCTCAGCCTCAGATAGGGACTGACTTGTTCTTTGGACAGCCTGTTTCATGTGGTTCTTATAAACCTGGTTGTCAAAGAAATTTTGGGTATCGGTCCTGCCCAGTAAATTGCTGACAGTGCTTCCAGCAGCGTTGCTGATTTTGTGCATGCAGGCTTTGTTCAGGAAGGAGGTCATGTGCCTGGAACAAGCCGCCACCAATGAGTCTAGAACACTTTCCCCCATGATGCTGATGAGGTCGTTTTTAAGGCGCTTCACATCTGGTAACTGCTGCCTTTCATCCAAGGCATATTTTTCATTAGGAAGATCACTCATTGCATTCAACAACTGAGGGATGAATTTATTATTGATGACGTCCTCTGAGGGAAAGGAATCATGTATTTGTTTGCAAATTATTATGTATTTACCCGTATCTAAAAGCTTCATGGCCATCTTCAAGCCTCCATTTTTCTTCACATGTTGCATTATAGCTCCAGAGGCCTCTGAAAGTCTATCAAGAATGTTCATGATCTTGGTGCAATCCGTCATGAGATCAGGAATGATTCTTCTTGTCAACACGTGAACTGACTGACGCATCTCTCCCTCACATCCTCTGTCAAATCTGAAGTCATCAGACCCCTCTTTCATCGCAGTCTTTGGCACTGCTGAGCAGATGAGGCCAGTGAGACGCGAATCCAGAGGTCTCGAAGGCCTCTCTCAGAACCCTTTTGAAGAGTGCTTCAAGACCTTTGTCAGCAGCATAGTTCAGAGTGGTGACACATACTTGCTTCAGCATTTCCTGACCAGCATACTCTCCTGCTTTTTTAAAACTCTGTTTAACTGTGAAGA